CGGCCGCCGGACCTCTTTAACGAAACAGTGCGAGCGAGAGTAGCAAAAATGTTGGCCGGTGAGAGTGAATCTTTCCAATTTTTTTTTCTTGCTTCAAGTCACCGGAACTCAGTATCTCTGCCAGCACTTATTTAGATTTAAATTCCATGAACAAAGCTATTATTAAGATTTCGAAAATACTGAGTACACTATGAATCACAATGCAACGATGATTTGGTTGAACGCATACGAAACGCACTTGGAACGAGAGAAAAATGAGTTGAATATCGAGAAGCCAGTTAAGTCAGTACAGTCCTCGATCTGCACCATTTATCACCCACCCTATCTTTCATGGCCGTGAGAAAAATGCAAGACACAGCAAACGATTGGAATTTTTCCAGTTCTTCTGAATGGTATCATCGATGTCGTGACTGGTTGTTGGTGGCTGGTGGTCGACGGTTATGGGAGAAGGACATGGTTTGGGGACAAAATGAAGAGGTGCTCATCTTCCCTCTATGTTTCCGTAAACCTTCTCAACTATCGCAAAATTTTCCATCAAGGGGCGAAGGTGGTGTAGTGGCAAGTGGCACACTATCTCACACGCACGGTCGGGGGTTCGAATCCCGGATCGATATCTGCCTGCGCCATCCAAGCCATCCATCCCTTCGGGATCGGTGAATTGGTACCAGACTCGTCTGGGAGGATAAAAACACTGACTTGTACATCGGCTGACCACCGCAATTCATTATATGGGCCACATATGTACGCACACGTTACGGCACTGATTCTGAATGAAGTCGAGTGCGGGGCGCATCCCTCAAACGGGATTGATAAACGCCAAAAATTGTTAACTCTGCTTTTATTCCATCAAGCAAGTTCACAGTTGCTTGTAGTGCGCCCATCACGTTGAGCCTTTTCAACGATTGTGCTGTGAAGTCCTTGGTTACTTTACAGAACAATGAGTGAAAGGACCATAGCAAAACGAAGCAACAGATTCGCCTTTGAGTGTCCATAAATGGCTTGCTGAACGATTCTACTTTGAACATCTGTAATTAATTACAGGACTTCTACACTTTGAAAGCATTCCGATTCCAACTGGGTTTGCGGAACTATCGCACGCCGACGGACCACACTCACAGCTGCAAACTTATGCGTGAAATCGCCTCTAGATACAGTGACTACAATGTCACCACATTCCACGAATACTATCCGTTCGCCGATCAGGTCAGGCTTCCCTTTCAATGGAGCGTAATCTCTTTGAGTAGCAAGCACGGGCATAATTCCATGTTGAAAAAAAACCTCTCGCTTTTTAGCTTGCTAATTCTTCACAGGTCGCAGTGGCTCATACCTCGATTCAACTACATGTTTTGCCTTCAGTACCTCGAACTCAAACCGTCGCTGCAGCAGAACTTCACTCTTGGCCTATTGTCCATGTTTGCTGTAACGGTGATAATGATTCCGGATGCCAGAGCAGCACTGGCGGTTGTTCTCTGCATTGCGAGCATAAACGCAGGTCAGCCCTCTGTTTATATTCCCAGATCAGTGTCGAAAGCAAAGAAAAATATGATGAACTTTTTAGGAGTCATGGGATTCATGACGTTCTGGGGCGTGAATCTCGACAGCGTATCAATGATAACGGTACGTTATCAGAGCATCTAACTAAGGATTGCTCAAAAAATTTTATACGGTGTGAATCAAAATCTATGTCATTTGCAATTTCCTTGAGAGAGGTCTTCGCTCAAAATGGTCTCCATTCCATCCCCTGTGGTTGATGGACTGAGAAAACCCTCTGAAAGGTGTTTTTGTTGCTAACAAACTAGGTACCTGAGGAAACAACCTAAGCTCAAGCTTCGCCGACAATATCTCCGTTGATTGATATTAGTTCTCCTCGCAAATATATTAAGGTTATACAATACCTTCTAATGATGGAAAT